CTGCCCCTGCCTCCTGAGTGCTGGGATTGAAGGCGTGCACCACCACCGCCACCCGGCAGTTAAGTTATTATTTTCTAAGGAGATATTCGTTGTATTGCATTGATGCCAAAATGTCAAGATTCTCCTTTTTTTTTTCAGATTTATTTTTATGCGTGTGCCTGTGTCCACAGTGTGTGTGCATGTGCCTGTGGAAAGCTGGAAGCTAGGAGATGGAATCAGATCCTCTGGAGCTGGAGTTAGAGTGGTGGCCTGATGTGGGTGCTGGGGTGTGGGTATTCTTCCTCTGGGAGAGTGGAAAGCACAGAGTAGCAAGGTTCTAACTAATCACTCTAATGAGACTAGTCCACCCCTCCCCCACCTTGGTTTGGAATGTGCAGTTTTGATAAGGGAAATGAGTGAAATTCTTTGCCCGTTTTCTGGCCTTTAGGTCACATTTCAATCTAGTTTCATATTAACTATTTCCAAGGGCCAGAAAGTGGCTCCCCAGCAGCCTGGGAGAGGGGACAGTTGCAGGCAGCTGGCGTGGGGTGTTTTCAATCGTGCGTGTGCTCAGGCTGAGGCTTACACACACACACACACACACACACACACACACACACACACACACACACACACGGACGCTGTATATTGTGTCAATATAAGCCCCATTTTATTTATTTACAGAGTGCTTTTGTAACTGTGCGTTCATTTGGTCTTCTAAACCAGTGTTTTCCTAAGTAGGTTTCATAGGTCCTGGTGCTATGGGAAAGCAATTTTCAACTCTGATATTTTAATTATGTCTTCCTCTTACCATTGGTCTGTAAGTGGAATCCATAAGACAGTACATTTATTTGTAACATGTCTATGTAGGGGTGAGTGTACAGTATTTGTTCTTGATGACCAGTGTGAGGTCAACAAGGTGGCGGCCATCGATGCCACCACCTCAATGTCCTAGACAAGCCTAGGGACCTGCCTGTATCCACAGTGTGGATGCCAGGGACCCACTCAAAGTCCAGCAAGTCTCTAAGTTCTGAGGTCTAGAAATCTGTTTTCTTCTTCCTCTTTCTTTTTAAAGGTAAGCATAGTGCATGCTTACAGGGCACACTAAAGCTGGATAGTATCTGTTTTCAAGCTAGAAAAGAAGAATGGTCTCCACTTTAGAGACAAGAAAACTGAGGCTCAGAAAAAGAAATCTAAACCTTTGGTTCATCGCAAGACACACAGGGGACTCCAGGAGCAATGTGACTAAATCCCATGTGTGTGTGAGGTGCTGAGCAAGTGTCCTGGGTCAGAATTTCTGGACTAATGAGGCTTGGCTATAGCTTTATGTAAAGAGCCAGCCCGAGGTACTTTCTTCACCATTTAGAATCAAGAGAAAGGAGAGTGTGTGTGTGTGTGTGTGGGTGGGGGGGGGGCTCTCCATCAGGACCTGTTCTTTGCTTTTCCTTCTTCAGGATTTTAAAAATTAAATTTAAGATGACTGAAAACTGAGGTCACCAAGCCCCTAACAGCTTGGCCTAAACATTGGCTTTCTTAAGGTTTCTGACTGTGTTTGGGATTCCCACTGTCAGGTGAAGAGGGAGTCAATGCTCTACTCTGTGGCCACCCTTCCCTAGCTCACAGACAGCCTGGTTCAAACAGAGCCAACAGTGTGGGGTGAGCTGCCTGCAGGAAACCTGATTCATGTGGGCCTTAGCTCCTCCAGGCTACGAACATACATGTATATCACTGGGACATGAGCGCACAGTCATCATTCAGCAGTCTCGATTGACGTCTCCTCAAGCCGTGTGCAGAGTGTTTATTCTTTCATTCAGCAAAGACTGAACTTGGTTTCCACCTGTGCCATGCATGATCTTAGAGCATGGCCAATGGCACCTGTCTGGTAGTTCCTTTAGTGGGAAGTACAGCAGACAGTTGACTTCAAGGAGCTGACTTTCATGTGCAGGTGACTGACTTCAGTCAGCATCCTGGCTGACACCCAAAGGCTTTTTTTTTTTTTTTTTTTTTTCCTCCAGAGGCTGGTGAGCTTCTGCGGTCTGCTTCCTAAACATTCTGGAACTTGACCTGTGTGAGAAACTTGCACACTCCATACATAAATAAACAGGTAACACACACCCGATTCCTTGCACTCAAGAGGTGGAGAATCAGCAGTTCAATGCCAGCCTTGGCTACACCGTCAATTTAAGGCTACCCTGGGCTACATGAGACTCTGTCTCAAAAAGCCCAAAGTAAAAATGCAAGCTTACTTTTCCATGATCTGGGAAAGCACTTACCCTAAGCAAATGTTGGCTTTTGTGTATTTGTTACTGTCTCTATAACAGAATAACTTTAAGTGGGTGAGTTTATGCTAGAGAAAAAGTAAAATAAAACCAGAGAGGGAGAATTCTCTTTTCCATCGTAAAGATGAGTGCAAGATAAAGCCAGTCCATATTCCAGTATGGACAGGAGAGGGTTCATGGAACCCCATCCCTAGCCACGGAGCTACTGGCAGTTGATGGCTCCTGTAGAGTCAGGCTTCTTTTGGGGTATGGCCACTTGGAAGTTGCCCAGTCTCCTAAGATGTTTCCACACCTATGAAGGTCAGAGGGGATGTATGGTGGGGTCAGAGGGGGTGGGATGGAGGCCTGGCTGGATATGTTCAGTATGTATGGCAAACAAGCTGGTGTGGTGGGGCACACCTTTAATCCCAGCACTCGGAAGGCAGAGGCAGGGGGATATCTGAGTTTGAGGCCAGCCTGGGCTACAGGGAGAGTTCCAGGACAGCCAGAGCTATGAAGGGAGACCCTGTTTCAAAACAGCCGGGCAGTGGTGGCGCATGCCTTTAATCCCAGCACTCAGGGGGGCAAGAGGCAGGAGGATCTCCATGAGTTCGAGGCCAGCCTGGGCTACAGAGTGAGAGCCAGGAAAGGCACAAAGCTACACAGAGAAACCCTGTCTCGAAAACCCAAAAAGAAAAAAGAAAAAAAAAAAAAAACCAAACCACAAAACAAGAAAAATATGTGTGTATATCAAACGTATATGAATTGTCAAAAATAATATTCTTTCAACAAAGACCTGTGCAAATGAGAGTGCCTTCAATGGGAAGACATCTCAAGTCCAGGCTCCAGTAGGCACTGTCCTACCTGCTATGGTGTGTCAGCGGTGAGTACACCAGGCAAGTCATGAGATCTCTGCTCATCGTCCTGCACTTGGTACTTCCTTGTGCACATACTCATAAGAACTGCAGCTTGAGCTCCCCAGGACTGACAGCTCTCTCAAGCTGAAAGGATGTACTGATGAGAGAGGCCCAAAGGGCAGATGACAGGTGGCATCAGTCACTGACAAATAGGTGTGTGCCGTGCAAGACACCTAAATTCTCTTCATTCCTTTGAGGACCTGCCTTGACAATTGTAGCAATCTGCAACTCTTCTGCCTTGGCAACTGAGAAATGACAATTCATATACAGGGTAGTTCAGTTTCTACCAGTGAAAAGTTAAATGGAAGTCTTAATTCAGGAAAGCAAGCAGTATGTCATCATCAATAAATAAAATAATCCTGGGCTAGTGAGAAGGCTGAGTCAGTAAAGGTGCCGGCTGCCACGCATGACGATGGTTCCACAAGTTGTTCTCTGATCTCCATATGCATGCAACACACACACACACACACACACACACACACACACACACACACGCACGCACGCACGCATGCACGCACGTGCGCGCGCGCGCGCACACACACACAGTGTAAAAAAAAAAATCAAAATTGAGATTTAAAGCCTTGCCTTGGAGGAGATGGGAATGGGGGGGTGGATTGGAGGATAAGGATGCAGGGGGGGGGTGGATGTGGGAGGAGGGGGGGAACCTGTGGTTGGTATGTAAAATGAATAGAAAATTTCTTAATAATAAAAAAAGAAAAAAAACAAAATTGAGTTTTAATGTTGTAAATTCCATGTGCTACAGTTAGCTGTGGATTGTAGAGACCCATGATGTCTGAGCCTGACCTCAGTTGGTCCCTCACTGTGGGTGTGCCTGTGCTTTCAAAATGTTCAGAACGTTCCAAAGGGCTCCCTGTCTTCAGCATCATGCTTGCGATGTTGCCCCCAGGAACACACTGCACACACACACACACACACACACACACACACACATGACGCTGGTGGTTGGCAGACCACCTCATAGAGAAGACCAGACTGGGGAGGATTTTCGTTTTTGGGTCTCAGAGCTCTGCATCCCCTCTGAGGTCCTCTGGTGAAGCCTGCATGTGGGGTAAAGGTGAATGGGGCCAAGACTGTTTCACAAAAAAGGTCGGAATTCTTGGCTATCCGTTAACCTTCTCAAAGCAGCTTTTGGCAAAACGAGGCCTCCCAGCTTGAGCGAGCCGTCGGGGCTGTGGAACTTAGTGGCCATTCAGAGAGCAAACGAATGTGCACACTCATTTAATTGCTTCCGGGACACACAGCCTTGTCTGCGTCAATCCCTTCTTTACCTAGGCCCTGTCCGAATTTCCTTTTTGGGTCCATTTTGGGGATGTGACTGAAGCTGGGTTGGTGGTAGCTCTCAAGACTTCCCTCTCCTGGACTTCATCCAAAGGCTTAAGGATGTTATATGTCACACTCAATCTGAGTGCCATCCTTGGACCTCTCACACATCAGTTGTACCACAAGCTTGTGGGTTTGGGAGTGCTGATGTGGCAGAGAGTGTAGAGAGATTTTGCTCACCTCAAAATCAATGTCCATTTTCTCCTGTGTGTCAGGGATTAGATCCCAAATTGATGTGGGATACCCAAATACACAGCTTGATTATGTTTTCTATTCTCTCTTCTCTCCAGCCAGATGTGGCCAAGTGACCAGATGCTAACCAGCCTGGTGTAAACAGAAAGTGGGACTATACCACCTTAACATAGAGGGGGTGCCATGTCTGGCCCTTCCTTTTTTATTAGCGCAAATGAATGTCTATCTGTGTAAACTGGAGGAAACACCAGTGATCGCTGATGGTCTGGGACCATCCTATCCAGCTTTGAGACAAGACAGACACACACACACATAATGCTATGACGCTTTAATGGGAACCAGACATTTAATGACCCAAACCCCTCCGTAAATGGCTTTGCTGTTCCAAGACACTCATGAACTTGAAACTAAAACACGACACTCGTTTTAAGAAGTAGTTTGGCCAGCCTCCCGCATCCCAAAGGAGATTAAAAAGTAATAGTGTAAAAAAAGTTAAGGTCAAGGTGTTTTCATAGCACAGCTGAGGCCTAACCATTGGTTCACTGGTCACATCTGTTCCACCCCGAAGGCCACAAAGCTTAACCTGACATTCAACAAGTGGTTAGTTAGTAGATTCCCTGGGTGGACTGTCCCTGAAGTTAAGCTCTGGCACACAGTAGGCACTTTAAGTGGATAGTTACCCTTTCTAGGTTGGGGGAAGTATTTGGCTCTCAAAAACAAGGTAAAGAAATACATTCAAACAGCATGGCCCATATTTGTGTGCCCCCCCTGGGATCAGGTGTGGGGATATCAGGGCATTCTCATGCACATCTGGACAGATGTTCTGGGGGAGCTTCCAGGGCCGGCAAGCAAGCTGCTTAACGTCTGCATGTGTGGTGGACCTGGACACGGAGGCCCACGCTGACTTTGAACCTAGCGTTCTGAATCAGGGTCCAGCTACCCAGAGGGATGCTTGCCCACGGCAGGCAGGCAGGCAGGGTGGCGCAGGTCCTGGCGATGGGAAGAGAACGGATGTAAACACGTGGTGCGGCTGGCGAGGCTGCCTGGGCACGCCTGCTGAGTGGTTAGCTCTGCTTCCGTCCATTTGCCTCTGTCTGCTCCGTGTGACTGCACCTCACTTGCCCCGCCCCTGCTTCGCCCAGCCTTTCACCTAGCCCCTCACCCTAATCTGCCTCCTCTGCATCTTCTCCTGCAGTCGCAGCTTCTAATGCTGCCAGGGCTTCGGCCACCTCAGCGTCCTCATCGACCACCACCCCATCTCTGTCCTCATTGTAGCTGTGGGGGACTTCCGGCTCATTCCGAGAATCAGCCGCTGGCGGGGGGTGAGTGGGACCCTCCTCTTTAAAGTAGACATTCAGAACTTCCGTAGTCACCGCCTCATTCAGGGAGTCCCAGCTTCTCTTCAGGGAGAAGGGCAGGCTCAGATCCTGCTCACTCACCCTGGGGTGAATTCCCGGCAGGGGCTCCACCTCAGAGTGGTTCTCAAAAAGATAATCCTTTTCTTCAGGGTCTGCATGGTCTAGGGTGGGGCTCCAGAGCTGGGGGTAATCCGGGGCTGGTAAGTGTAGGACGTGGTCTGCCCCTGCCAAGACCTCAGCGGGGACCCCGCAGTCTCCACATCCCACCACCTGGGTCTCTTCCGAGGAGGTGGGCACGGTGCAGCTCTGCTTCCTGCAGGCCTCTCCTTCAAGGAAGGGTTGAGTTGGGTGAGTGCCGTCTATGGTGCCTGCCCAGGAGCTGCTGGCCCAGGAGCCACCGTCAACCTGGTGGGGCCTGGGACTCCTGACCAAATGCAGAGAGGCAGTGGGGCTGATACCATTGACAATACCATGCTTCTCCGCACAGTGTCTCTCTTCCGAGTCCTCCGGAGGGAGCGGGCCTTGGCGAGGTAGACCAGCTGTACCGTCTCTGTTCTCCGTCTTGATCAGGCTCCCACCATGCAGGGCATTCCCGGGCACCTCAACCTCTCTGTTCTGGGTGCCTTTTAGTCTGACAGTGTCATCCTCCTCCTCCAACCTGCAGGTGTTCACTTCGTTGACGAACCCAGGGGAGGGCACTTGAACTGGATCAAAGAGATAGCTGGGGGTGAGAGGAGAAGGCATCAGTTAAGTTGGCCTCGGGACAGAGGAGCTGGGGAAGGGACTGGCTCCTGTGATTGTGTCTAAAAGAATAAATATACTTGGCATAGAAATCGTTGGCTAATGAAAAGAGCTAAAGGGACCCCAAAGGAAGGGATAGGTGAATTATAAAGTAGTTCATGGACTTTAAAAATGAAAAAAAAAATCCACTAACAGGGAAATAAGGGGCTAAGTACCAAGTATCATCTGTATATTTCTCCAATGGAATATTATGTAGTCATGAAAATGATAAATATAAAGTATGTGGTAGAATAAAAGAAACAATCACGGGGGAATTAGTTCCAGGACCCTCATACATAACAATATCTGTAGATGCTCAAATTTTCCACATGAAATTGTGGCATATCTGCATACACCTCATTACACTTCAAGTCATTTCTAGGTTCTTTATTCTACCTAAGGCAAGATAAATGCCATAGAGATTATCTTCAATCTGTACTGCTTAGGGAACAACAAGAAGAAAGTCCCAATGTTCAGTACAGACTTGGTTTCCTTTCTGAATATTTGAATCTATGGTTGGTGGACTCTAGGGCTGTAGAGTCCATGGATGTAGAGAACTAATACTATAGATAATAAACACTTGTGAACAAAGCCCAACATCACATGGCTCTGATGGAGTAAAGTGTAAGTGTGTGTTTGGACTCAAATAGAGTCAGAGCTTCCCGCCGCCCTGCCTCTCCCACCCCACCCCCAGGAAGTCATGTCCCCAGTGAGTCTGTCTTCCTTATGATTCACACCACTCAAAGTTTTATGAAATGTCACAAGAAAGGTGACTGGACTCTTTAGTATCATTCACTTCAGAAATCCTCTGAGCTTTGTGAGAAATGCAAATTTGACCGAAATGGAATTTGACCTCAGGAGTAATGATATGTCTAACAGTTTTGAGCAATGAGAAAATTAAAAAAAAAAAAAAATCTAGTTTTCTAAATGCTGTCAAATGGAGCCAAGGCTTCATGTCTTGGCAATGTGGGTCAAACCTGAGCTGGCTAAATGTCCTGATGGTGTCACAATTTCATTGTTACTTCTTTTTTTTTAAAGATTTATTTATTTATTTATTTATTTATTTATTTATTTATTTATTTATTTATTTATTATGTATACAGAAGAGGGCGCCAGATCTCATTACAGATGGTTATGAGCCACCATGTGGTTGCTGGGAATTGAACTCAGGACCTCTGGAAGGGCAGTCGGTGCTCTTAACCTCTGAGCCATCTCTCCAGCCCCTCATTGTTACTTCTTGAGCTGCTGCTGTCACATATCCTGTCTTTACGGATTTATTTATTTCTATTGGTCTCGCTATTGCTTTAGCGTTTGCCGTTGGACAAAACAGCGGGTTTCAAGATGGCATTTTCATACCCGTACATAGTTGACTTTGGTCGTATCCATCCCCCCCCTCCAGTGTGTCCTCCCCACCCCCACTCGTCCCCTTCTCTCCCTAGTGTCCCTCTTCTACTTTCATGTCTTACTTTATGGGCGTGGTCTCAACAAGACTGACTACCAACGCCCCTTGCCATACAATCTCTGTTCACTTTACCTTTGTATCATCTTACAGCACCTGCACCCCATCTGGATTATTTTTTGTTACCATCTGGAAAAGAAAGAGTAAGAAAAAGGGAATGTCATTAGTCCTATTAGTGAGAATCAAGTTTACTTTTCCTTTTGAGACACTCAAAATGAAGAGTTGTAAGTTCTGGTCCAAGGATAGCGCGTGAATCATTAAGACAGAACCCCCTCGTGTCTCTGACGTCATGGATTCAGAATTCCCAAACATTCTTTACACTTGACTCACACAAACTCCTTTTCAGACATCCAAGCTTTATATTCCAACCCCATCTGCAGATGAGAAAAGCATGATGGGATAATGTCAGGGAGCAAAGGGACCCATGATATTTAGTGACCTGTGGCCTTTCCCTAGTGAAGATTCCAGGGACCCATGAATCTTCCTGGACACAGCACCGCTCAGCAGCGGGAGGTATAAACATTCCTAGAGGATTCCTTGTCACCTCCTTAGGTATTAAGAAGGCAATGGTTTGGATCCTGAATGTCCATCAAAGGCCCATGTGTTGAAGGTTCGGTCACCATTCTGTGGTACTACTGGGAGGTGGTAGGCCTTTTAGAAGGTGGAATTTAGTGGACAAAAGTTAGATCATTAGGGGGGTGTGCCTAGAGCATATCTGGACCCAGTACTCTCTTTTTTATTTTTCTTATTTCTCAGTTGCCTTGAGGTGACCAAGTATCTTCTGTCACATGATTCTACCATGATGTACCATACTGATACAACCTCAAATAACAGGGCCAGGTGACTATGGACTGAAACTTCCAGAACTCTGAACCAAAATGAACCATCCCTTCTGGGAGTCAAAATAAACCATCCTTTCTTATCTGTTGACTGGCTCAGGGATTTGTCAGAGAAATGGAAAGCTCGCTAGCACAGACAGTGAGAATTAAAGATGGCTGACCATGTGTTTCCTGATTCAGCCCTTTGGGGTGGTGCAGCCTGAGCAGGATGCCAGTGTTAGCTTAGCCTGAGCCAGTGTGCTCCTGATGTGCCATCTCCACAGCCAGGACAATCCCAGTCATCAGTCATGAGTTCCATTTGCTTGCTGGTCAACACCATGCCTGCAATACCATTCCCTGGGGCTTCCTAGTGAAGGTGGTGGAGTCCTCTTCCACCTGCTCACTGTGCCCTGCTCCTTCCCAGGTTGGATTTTCTCCATCGCTTCCCTTTGAACAAAATCTTCTTTTCATGCAAAGCTGGCCACCCTGGCCTGCTGGATTCCTCAGTGAATCCCAAGTGTTGAAACGGGAGGACCTCTTAGTGGTTTTCTGTTTCTTATGTGTACGACCTTTCAGAAGACAAATGGACACCAGGACCTTCAACCTAGTGCCTTTGTCTGCAAAGTTCATTTGGAGGAGAGATGATTTGCTTGTGGCTCCCTCCCTCCCTCCTTCCCTCCCTCCCTCCTTCCTTCTTTCAATTATAGACTCCCCAGGATGATATTCTATAATATACTAATATAACAATACTCCATCAGTAAGGAAAACGTCTGCAGCTGCTATGAACAACAGGTTGGTTGGTTGGTTAGTTACAGGGGTTTCAATTTACTATGGTAATAAAATCAGTACCTATGAAGTAAGTGGAAAAGTCATTTCCTAAAAGATATACACACTTGAATCCTTGGGATCTGTGAATGTTACCATGGCCAAAGCAACCAATCAAATAAATGTGGAGGTAATCAAGTTATGGACCTCAATATGGGGATGTTCCAAAGTTCAGTTATATTTGTGCTCCTAAGCCAAAGGCCAAAGGAGATTTGGTCCCAGACAGGCCAAAGGCCAAAGGAGATTTGGTCCCAGACAGAAGAGGGAGAGACGATGTGATTATAGAGGCAGAAATGAGAGGGGCCATACCCCTGAGGAACAGGGCCCTGGTAACACTCAGTGTCCTTAATGCAACCCACTGATGCCAGCTCTAAAAGCTCTGGCTGCTTGTCTGAAAACCCCAAGTTTGTAGCAGTTTTTCCAGCAGCACAGGAAGTGCTTATAGACCCAACTCCACTTCTCCCAAGCCCCGAATCCCTGAGCTCCTGAATGTGCAGGTCCACTTGGCCACACAGCCATCTCTCTTCGGCCTCCCTCTGGACTCTCTCTCGCTTGTCCTCCTTGCATGCACTCCTACTAGACCTGTCACAGATTCATCTGGATATGTCACAGATTCATTTCTGATCCATCTTCCCGATAGAGTCAGCTCTCCAAGCCTCATTTGTGTTTTTAAAAGGCACACATCTTGGACTCACAAGACATGCAATCTAGTTGCCATGTCGCAGGCGTTAGCCACACCAAGAAGTAGCTGTTTCTGGAATAGAGACCAATGGTGCACGTCTGTCAATCATGACATCAAGTGCAAAACATACATAGACCCAAGTACAACAGCCCTGCAGGGAAAGAAGGAATGGGATGCTGAAGTAGCAGCCGGTACACACACACACACACACACACACACACACACACACACACACACACGCGCACGCACGCACGCACGCACGCACGCTCGTGCACATGCACACGCACACACACGACTCTTAGGATTATGCTCCTAGCTCTAGTTCCCCACTGCCTCACTTTCTGCTCTAACTCATAGATGAGCTGGATAAATGGGTTAGATTAGAAAGTACCATGCCCATTTCCCCCCTCCTCCACCCTTTCCCTCCCCATTTCAGGACTGGTGCTGAAATCCTGACTGCTGTACTTTTGCTTACTTTGGAGTCTTGTTTAAAAAAAAAAAAAAAAAAAAAACAATCCAGATAGGAAGGTAACTAGTGAAGACAAAGTTGAAGAAAAGGAAAGGGGGGGGGGCGCTCAGCAGTGTTTGTGAAACCACAAAGTACAGAATGCAGAGAGCCCTGTAAATGATTATTATGATGAGTAGGTCAGCTTTTGGAGTTCTAGTTTAGCAGCCAGAAGAGAGGGAGAAAGAAGCACCCGGGGGTGTGGGGGGAGGTGGGGGGGGGAGAACGGGGGGGGGGGAGGTTGGGGGTGTTGGTCCATCCCAGCTTCCTAGTAGCTGCTTGGATCCTGGGGATCTATTACCTAGTGAAGCTTGAAAGCCTTTTCTCACCTTCTGCTGGGCTCAGGCCACAGATTAAGTTGCTTAGAAATGCAAGAATGGCTGGGATTTAACACTCCTCCTCCCAAATCACCGATATCCCAAGGAGGGGGGGGGGCAGACAGACAGAGGTGGGCAGGCTAGAGACTGAAGCCAAGTCCTTCAACTGCGTGTATGTTTCCTGTATGTCTTCAGGCTTCCCATCTCTGCTCTCCCAAACCCTGCAATTACAGGATGTTGGAGTAGCTTTTCCCTCTTTAGGGTCAGCTTCCTGCCTTTTCTCCCCAAACCTCCTCCCTTAGGGTCCACCTCTTGGCTTTCCTTCACGTCTAGTCTCATACCTGAGAGCCATGCTTTTGAGTCAGGTATCAGGCTTAGCTGTGGGACACGCTTCCTGGTTCAGGTCCTGCCCTCTCTTTCCACTTGGTGATTTCCTTTCCTGGTGACATTCCTTCTCTCAACTGGCCTCTAATGTTCAAGGTTCTATGACCCACAGGTGAACAGGGTGGGGACGAATGTACTCACCCTCCCCACCCCCATATCTGCAATTATTCTTCCTTATACACACTAGATCAAGTTCAGTCCATTCCCCGTGCCTATGTCAATAGCCCATCCACCTCTTGCCTGGAAAAAGGAAGTCTCTGAGCAAAAGGGAAACGTCCCTCCTCCGGCATCATGCATGGAATTAGAAAAATGCCAGCCCTTGAAGGAAGACTGGGTTCCGAAGGAGCGAGCTACCCACCTTCTTCCTGCTTGTCTTTTGGAAGCAGTTGCCTGACTTACAGTGGGAGCCCTGGAGAGCTAAGGGGAATCCACCTTTGCTTTGTCTTTGGAGTGATATAAACAGCTACAGGGAAGCAGAGGGCACATCTCGGGCAGCCAGGGTTTGGTTTACACAGGGGAAAAGCAAATACCATTAGGGTGGCTGAGTCGACCTACTGCTGGCGCCGCCTGCTCCCGGACTCGCACATGACTGCTGTGACTCTGTCCCATGTTTCGTGTTGAAATTAAACAGCCCTGTGTTTGAGGATGGTCAGGGCTGCATTAGTGAGCGGTGAAATCTCCAGGCAGGAAAATCCTGTTCTACGATGGGGGTGGGGGTGGGGGTGGGGAGAGCAGGACAGGGGGAGCCTTGGAGTTTTCGAAAAGAGAAAACTGACCGTATTCATCGGGGCGCCAAGGGGTAAGAGCTGGTGTGGAGAGTGATTGCTTGGATCCAGCTTACGGGGGCTCTACTGGCCAAGTCTGGAGTCGTCCGACCATGAAAACGAATAGGACTCTCAAGAATTCTAGCCCACTGAAGAAAAGGTGAGCAACAAGACCACGGTGAGATGAGTTCAAAAGAGAGTGGGCCAGGTCTGTCACGCAAGTAGGACGCCGGCTAACAAACATACACGGGGTAAGGGAACTAGGAAGATCGCCATTTGTTACTCCTCGTAGTAATAACGGATCCAAGTAAGACTCCCTGATGAAGGCCCAGGGAACGAGAGGGGCTAGAAGAATGAAAGGGCCAGATGATGGGGGGCAGGGCTGTGAAACGCTATCTTCTGGACATGCCATAGCCGCAGAGCTCACAAACTAACCTACACAAGACAGAGGCACCAAGCAGTCAGAGATGGGGCTCTTGTCCTCAGGCTGACCCTCCCCTCAAGAGGGAAGCCCCGGACATCTACCTCAAATATTGTATACAAATGCACGGAACACTTCCGCCCTCACTAGTCAAATGTAGGAAGGACGGGTGAGTGACAGGTGGGAAAAACGGGGCTGGCTATCTTGTGTGTTGTTGTTTTGTTTTGAAACAGTCTTGCTGTGTAGTCCAGTCTGGTCTGGAACTCACTAGGGTCCTTCCTCAGCCTCCTGAGTGCTGGGGTTCCATGTGTGTACTATCCTTGGGATATCAGACTGGATAAGCCATTCCAACCGAGGGTCTTTTCATTTCCAGGTTCAGTTCTCACAGGTCCCTATCCACAGGTCCCTATCAC